CTCCTCCTTCTTCTCCTCCTCCTCCTTCTTCTTCTTCTTGTTTGTTTGCAAGAATTGCAATTATTGTGGATGAGCTGTCATACAAAGGTATTTGTGTAAGGAGTTTCAGTTGAACTACAAGTTCTCAGATGCAAGTACGAAACTCTGTGTACATAATCTCCCAAAGAAAGACTCTAAAGAGTATTAAAGTATTAATATTGATGATGAAACTTCAAGAAGTTCTCAGATAATAAAGCGTAAATAAGCAGCAATTTTATTATATTTCAAAAAATGACCATTTGCATACATTATATACTCAGGTCTGACATGTCACACATATATCATTTATAAAAAATATATAATGAAATATGTTAATAATGTACTCAAAATTTGACATTGCACTCTTATGGTATACTGAAACAACCTTGTATATAATTACAATGTGTAAGTGCATCAGACGTCTGTTGCAAAATGCCAGATAAACCCTGGTCCACGTATTTGAAGATGACTGTATTTTGGGTTGTAATGCCACGTAGTATGGTAGAAGTTTACCAACGTTTCAGCGGTCATACTGCCTCCGTCATCAGAGTATGAAGATTTCTGTCTTCTGGGTTGTTGCGCTGTGTAGTCTGGTCGATGTTTACCAACGTTTCAGAGGTCATACTGCCTCTGTCATCAGAGCGATGTCATCCCAACCCAGAAGACAAAAATCTTAATAATATAGTAATTGACACACACTCTGTAAAATTTAGTGGAGACAAAGTACAAAAACAGTTTGTGTTGTCTAACCTCAAATAAGCCTGTATAAGACTCAAAGTCATACACCCAGACGCTGCAGTAAGCTTTTCAAATGTTTCAGGGGTAACTTTACTTTTTTTATGTGTTGCAGAAACTGGCGTATCAGTCATGCTTTGAGCCACCACTTGTACACGAATTCATTGCTGGACCTCGAACTCGCTATTTTCGAGCCATTGCTGCAGTGGGTGCCACATCGTAATAAATCGATATTTGTTCGTTACGTATCTTGGCTTTACAGCTTCATTCTTTATACCGTCTTATTCCACAGTAACATTGTCATCAGGTAAACATCAGCCTAACCTACAAGTTGCAGTGATGATGAAGCTTTGTTACGAACATACGAGGTGCGATCGGAAAGTTTC